TCCCTCTGACCCTCCCCCCTCTCATGCTCTCTCTCTATCTCATTCTCTCTGAAATAAATAAATAAAATCTTTAAAAAAAAATAGAGAAAACATTGATTTTTTTTTTTTTACAAGCCCAGATATCCCACCACTTTTGATGGATAACTTTTGTTTATCAAAAGACACCTGAGTGCCCAGATCTTGGTTTCTAATACCATTCTCCAATAAAAGGAACCAGGGCTCCTTGGAGAAGTGGCTGATTCTAGGGCTGGGGATCTAGTGTTCAAACAAGGTGAGCCTGGACCAATTTGTCATTCCAGGACATAAAGAAGCGCTCAAAAAATTGTGTGTGGGGGGAGGCAGCAGAACAGGGGGAAGAGAAATGTAATAAAGGAGCCAACCTGACAGCTCACAGTGGCCAAAGCTGGACCAATTTGAGGGAAAACCCCAATAATATAGTATTGAATTCTAAACCAAAGTATAAAACAAATATCCATAAGTCCACACTGACATAAATAAACGAATAGATAAATAAATGAAGGAGAAGAGACAAATGTCCTGCAGCTGCTTAACCTACTGAGCCACGCAGGCGCCTGATGATAGAAAGTTCTGAAGGTCACAGGGGATGGGAAAATGACGTTACCCACCAGTATTGTGTGACCACCATGGTAGAAGGAGCTGATGTTGGAAGACTTCAGACTTCCTTTTAAGGCTAATTGAATCTCTTATTACTATTTAACCTCTGGCATGAGATCAGTATTCTGTCTCTGATCAGATAGATACCTGATGTCATCTACCAAGAATAATATGTTAAAAATGTTTCTTTGTCTCTTCCATACATTGATCTGCTAGATCTCTGATGTTTCTCTCTTTTGATACTTGGTTGCATTAGAGAGAAAGACTGGCCGCTGTGCTGTTCATTTGTCTAATTTACTTGAGTGCCAGATACTTTTCAGATGGTGTACTTATTTCTCTTCTAAGAGATGGCTTTGGTTGTATTTCCTTTACCCTTTGTGGCTTTTATCCCCCCTCCTTCTCTGCGTTCATCTCCATAGCTCTTTGACTTCCAAACGCTCTGTTCCTTTTGTTGTTTCTAAGAAGGGAAGTAGTTGGGTTTGACTGGTGCAGTTCTATCCACTCGTTTTCCAAACACTCATGAAGTGCCTACTTAGGCTACTACAGTAGGTAGACAGGCCCATCGACAAATAGCACAAGGCCCCTGCCACTTATCTGGAAGTGTAGACACCCAGAAAAGGAAATGTAACAGGGTATGTGTTGTAGCAGAGGTGGATGGCAAAGAATTCTTTTGGAGAAGTTGAGAAAAACCGTCATCTGAGCTAGGTCTTGAATGGACAGGAGCTTCCGAGGTCAAGTGGCAGAACAGGAAGGGAAGAACATGGAATGGCAGGTAGAAAGATGCAGAGGCCTGACAAAGCTGGGTGTGCCGTGAGACTGGCAGGTGTTCGAAGGCTGATGTCACTGGGTGGGTAGTTCCCGTGGAAGGTATGTGGGGAGGTGATAAACTTGGGGAGGTCAGTTGCTAGCTTCTTCACTGCACGCAGAAGGAATTGGCTTCATCTGTCTGGAATCATGGGGGGCTGTGAGTGAGATAGTATGTTCCCAGGGGTCTTATGTTGGACCATCTCAAGGAGAGCTTCTGACCCCAGTTCTCAACCTCGAGCTTTCACCCTGGAAATAAAGTCTGTTCAGAGCCTCTGGCTGGCACTTATCTGCCATGCCCAGGGCACCTTGGACTTACTATCATCTTTGTGCACCGGTCTGACCTCCACCCTTTACCCCTTGGCCTGCCTCCCTCTAGGAATTGGTTCTGGCTTTCCCAGGGTGGGGGTGGGGAGTGGGCTGTGGCATGCAGAAAGGGGATGGCAAAAGATGAGTCTTTTCACACCCTTGGCTCTCCTCTGACCCCCCTTTCTGTCTGCTATTTCTTCAGATCTTGGCCTCTACTTTCTTCCAAATACTTGGCTTCAGGCCCAGGTGGGAGAGGGAGAAAGAACTTGTTTCCTTCAGCTCCTCTCTGAAAACAACCCGGCTGGCACTGGTCAGGAACAAGAAGTTCCTGAGTGTCTGCACCCCATGCTGTTGATGTCCAGCAGTCCCTGCTATGAATCTTTATTTATTTCTTGCTATGAATCTTGTCTCTGCCCCACTTACCCGCCATCCCAGGATCTCTGTGGAGGGAACTTAGGTTGTCTTTTTTTTTTTTTTAAAGATTTTACTTATTTATTTATTTGACAGAGAGAGACAGCGAGAGAGGGAACACAAGCAGGGGGAATGGGAGAGGGAGAAGCAGGCTTCCCGAGGAGCAGGGAGCCCGATGCGGGACTTGATCCCAGGACCGTGGGATCATGACCTGAGCTGAAGGCAGACGCTTAATGACTGAGCCACTCAGGTGCCCCTTAGGTTGTCTTTAAAGCCTCTGCAGCGGCCTCCAAGGCTTAGCACAGTGAAGCCATGGGGGGCGGGGGTTGGGGGGGAACCCTGGCACCCTGGGGAGATTGGGCTACTCTGTGGGAGGCCCTGCAAAGTGGGGAAAAGTCTGGTCTGTTGTAGGAAAATGGTGGATGCCTCTAACTGAGGCCCAACCTTGGAATGTTTGCTACAGGCCCGAGATTGCCCATCAGGCGCTTGAGGCTCTTCTGGATGTCGGATGCCTCGCTGCCCGACATCCTGGCGCCAGAGACTGGGGGTAGGGTGGGGTAAGACGGGGAGTGTCAGCTTCAACTCTCCTGTCCGAACAGATTCATCTTAAAACATCACGGAGAACACCGGGTTAGAGTTCATTCAGTGAAGTTAATAAAGCAAAGTATTGTAGTGCTCAATAGTTGCTGCATGATGAATTATTTGAACTGGACTCAAGATGAGTCTTGAAGGACGTGTAAGCCCGGCGGTGAAGTGGAGGTCTAGCGCCAAGTCCCAGAGGCTTGAGGAGACAAGCTAGGTCGGAGAAAGAGGGGGAGCTGAGTTTGGCTGGCTCTGAGAGCGCCAGCGGCCGTGCGAAGTTGGAACCACCACGCGGTGGCCTGAGCCCAGGGCCAGGGGCAGACGGAAGACGGCGTCGGGGTATTCACCCGTCCTCGGAGTGCGCGAAGAAGGGCCCCGGGACCCCCGCGAGGCTGGACTGCCCCTCCCCCTCCCCTTCCGGGGGCGGGACAAATCAGACCCCGCCCACCTAAAGGTGGCTCGGGGCTCGGCCCTCTCAGCGTCCCGCTGGAAGGAACCTTAGGGGCAAACAGGTTGGCGAGCGGTCCCAGATTGAGCAATCGTGGCCGTTCCTCTTTAAGGGGCGGGCGGGGGCGGGGCTCCCCTGCCTCATCCCGGAGGCTGAGCCCGTCCCCCGGCAGACGGCGGACGCAGTCGCCGAAGCTGCGCGGGGCTGCCTGGTCGCGGGAGGCGGTGCCGAGGCCGAGGTGAGGCGGGAGGTCGGGGCAGGAGTCCAGCCACCACTTGACCGCAGGCTGCATCGTGTCGCCCGTTCCGCAGGCACCATGAGCCAGGACACAGAGGTGGACCTGAAGGAGGTGGAGCTGAACGAGCTGGAGCCCGAGAAGCAGCCGATGAACGCGCCGTCCGGGGCGGCCATGGCCGTGGTTGTGGCGGGCGGCGCCGAGAAGAACGGTCTGGTGAAGATCAAGGTGGCCGACGACGAGGCGGAGGCAGCGGCCGCGGCCAAGTTCACCGGCCTGTCCAAAGAGGAGCTGCTGAAGGTGGCGGGCAGCCCCGTCTGGGTGCGCACCCGCTGGGCGCTCCTGGTGCTCTTCTGGCTCGGCTGGCTCGGCATGCTGGCCGGCGCCGTAGTCATCATCGTGCGGGCCCCGCGCTGCCGCGAGCTGCCGGCGCAGAGCTGGTGGCACAAGGGCGCCCTCTACCGCATCGGCGACCTTCAGGCCTTCCAGGGCCCCGGGGGGGGCGACCTAGCGGGTGAGCTCTGTGCGCGCCCCTGGTTTAACGGGCCACTGGCCCCGATCCTGTCCCCCCACCCCGTCCCCGGCCCGGAATCGTCCCCGCACCCAGGGACGTAGCTTCTTCTTTTCTTTGAAGAAAACCGCCCCCACTCTCTCTTGCGCGAGGGTAGCTGACTCAGCGTCTTCCCTTCCCCCTGCGGCGCAGGAAGCCGGTCGCTGACGTTTCTGAAGTAATGTGCCGGGCACCTTACATCAGCAACTCTGAGCGTCGTGATCCAGGCTCACCCCCTGCCCCACACTTAGTTCCGGGGAGAGGGGAGACTAGGGCAGTTCAGGGGCCTCTCAGAGGGGCTTCGCTTTAACCGCTTTAACCCTGCTTCCCGGTTTCAGGCCTAAAGGGGCGCCTCGATTACCTGAGCTCCCTGAAGGTGAAGGGCTTTGTGCTGGGCCCAATTCACAAGAACCAGAAGGATGACCTCGCGGGGACCAACTTGGAACAGATCGACCCCACTTTTGGTTCCAAGGAAGATTTTGACAATCTCTTGCAGTCGGCCAAGAAAAAGAGTGGGTGTCCTGGAGTTGACTCCGAAGCAGCTGAGAAGGGGTTGCCTTTCTGGCCACAGGAAAGCCAGGATAGGATTTTTGTTTGGTTCACTCCTGACTGGCTCTGAGTTTTCCTAAAGCAGGCACAGGGGAGGTTTCTTAGGCTTCAGTCTAAAATGAATTTGTCAAGTGGCTCAGAGACTTTTCTACTTGCTGTGTGTCCAGCCATTTAACTTCCGGGCTTCAGTGCCCTTTCTTGCAAAATGTAGGCTTCCTGATTCAGTGGTTTATTTTTTTTTTTTTTTAAGATTTTATTTATTTGCAAGAGAGAGAATGAGAGACAGAGAGCATGAGAGGGAGGAGGGTCAGAGGGAGAAGCAGACTCCCTGCCGAGCAGGGAGCCCGGTGCGGGACTCGATCCCGGGACTCCAGGATCATGACCCGAGCCGAAGGCAGTCGCTCAACCAACTGAGCCACCCAGGCGCCCCTCAGTGGTTTATTTTTATTTATTTTATTTATTTATTTAAGTAGGCTCCACTGCCCAAGGTGGGACTTGAACTCACGACCCTGAGATCAAGACTCGCATGCTTTACTGACTCAGCCAGCCAGGCATCCCTAATTCAGTGGTTTTTTAACTTGTAGAGGAGCGGATCCTTTTGAGAAAAATATCCAAATAAAATCAGAGGGTTCACTTTGGGGGTGGGGAGCCCAGGGCCCCATAGCTCAGCCTTGTCTACTACACTATGTGCCTTCTGCCCTAGAAGATCTTAAGCCGGGTTCAAATCTAAGCATTTGTGCCACATAATACATAGGGAGTAGTCTACCGGCTTGTATTTGTTGTTCTCCCTTTTCCCTCACCCCAGAGTCTTTCCCACCGCTACGTTTTCCTCCATTGTTCCAGGTATCCGGGTCATTCTGGACCTCACTCCCAACTACAGGGGCCAGAACTCGTGGTTCCTCCCCTCGGAGATTAACTCTGTGGCTGCCAAGATGAAGGTGAGTGAGTTGGTGCTGATGGCAAGTGGGAGCTGGATGTTGGGGCTGTGTTGATCCTCTTGGCAAGCCCTGTAAACCTAGCCTGGCTCCAGCTGAGGGGACCCTTGCCCCTTGGAGCCAAACTGACGCACTCCTCCCACACAGGCAGGAGGGTAGGCCAACGGTGCACCCCCCTTTTTGCTTGTTCCTTTTCTGGCCAGTGATTGTTTCCTTGACTCTGATGGTCACAGGGCCAGGAAAGGAATCTCTCAGATGTCAGTCTGGGTTTGATTTTTCTTCCTTTTGGGAGAGGAAGCCGTTTCTCTGTGGGACTCCTGTTCTGCCTGTTTTCCCAGCTCTTGTTTGATGTGTTCTGGAGTGGAGCCCAGTCTGAAATTGTAAGCACTGTGATCTTATGTGTCTAGGGCTATGCCGGGTATTTTGTGTATGTTCTAAACGTCTCTATGGCCACACAAGGACCCTGACATCTCTCTGCTGTAAATGAAGAAGCTAAGGTTCAGAGGGGTTTGCTGTGCTTAGGATTTGAAGTCCCAAGTAGTCTCATTTCTGTAATCTGCCTGCCCTGAACGAAGGTACAGGTGTAAAGACTATACTGAGCAGGCTGAGAATGGGACTTTGTCATCCGGGCTCCTAATGCCAATGCTCTAGGACCCTGACCAGTTCAGCGGGGGTAGAATAAAAATGGAGCAGACCCCGACCCTTTGCTGGCCCTCGTGATTCTGAGGTAGAATTCTTTACTCCCAGCATTTCCATAGGACCCTTGGGGTCATCCGGTTCAGCCCTCGCTAATTGCTGGAAGACCCTTTAAGAGTTATTGATGGGGGGACAGGCGCGCCTGGCTGGCTCAGTCGGTAGAGCATGTGACTCTTGATCTCAGGGTTGTGAGTTCAAGCCCCATATTGGCGGTAGAGCTTACTTAAAAAAAAAAAAATCTCTTAAAAGTTATTGATGAAGGCGTCGTGTTTGCAGATGGTGTGGCGTGAGGTCTGGTAGCTTCAGATGAAAATGGAGACGAGAGGAGAGAGCACAGGGCCTGGGGCTGTGGGGGTGGGGCCCCATGTTCTGCGTTCACCCCCCCCCCCGCCCCCCGCCCCCCTTGCTTGGAATTCAGGCCTGGGCCTGTGCTGAGAGCTGACTCCTTTTCAAATCTTCATCTAGACTGCCCTGGGGCTATACTTGGAATTTCACTCTTTCATCATTGGCCTTGCTCTGACCTGCTCTCTTCCTTCTACCCTCCCCAGGCCTCAGGACGCTGGGAGAGGAGTAAGGACACTTGCGGTGGGATCTTGGCTAGCATTTCGGTCCCGTGTCTGCTGCTTGCTGACGGTGGTCTTGGGCATGCTTCCTTGCTGCTCTGAGAGGGTTTCCTCATTTCTGACACGAGTATCCTAGCATTCCACCATGCTAGGGGTTAAATGAAGTTGTGTTTACGGACATACTTTTTCTCTTGGGCCTTTCCTGTAGGTGTCCAAAGGTGAAGCTGTGTGATTTGCCCTGGGGAGGAACAGAGAAGTGAAATGCTGTAGCGTTAAGAATCAGTGATAGTTCACAAGGGGAGGGAACCGAACGCTAGCCCTTTATGATAGGGGTGGTTAAATGAGGCCGGTCAAGGCAAGTGACTCTCCCAGGGTCATGCGGAAGTGCGTCCTGGGCAAGATTTGACATGGGCTGGATTTTGTAAGCCTTTGAGTCAGAGTATTGATACCTTTCTCCTGTTCTTTTACCGCCTTCCCTGTAGGATGCTCTGAGTTTTTGGCTGCAGGCCGGTGTAGATGGGTTCCAGGTTCGGAACATAGAGAATCTGACGGTAAGTCACTTTCCACGTGAGAGGCAGAGCCTGGGTGAGAGCAGAGGGACTCTCCAGGGCTTGGTAGTATTCCTTGCTCCTCAACTTTGCTTTTTTTCAATTCTAGAATGCACCTTTGTTCTTGGCCGATTGGCAGAACATGACCAAGAGCTTCAGTGAAGATAGGTAGGTGCCAGGCCTCCCCCGCCAACTCTGCTTCATTCCCCTCTGCTGAGTGCTGGGCCCCAGGAACGGGGGAGTTCCTAGCCCAGAGAACCTTCTTAACCCTCATTCTTTTCTTGTTCTTTTTTTTAAAAGATTTTATTTATTTATAAATAAATCGCGAGAGAGATCGCGAGAGTAGGAACACAAGCAGGGGAGTGGGAGAGGGAGAAGCAGGCTTCCCCCCGAGGAGGGAGCCCGATGTGGGACTCGATCCCAGGACCCTGGGATCATGACCTGAGCCGAAGGCAGACACTTAACGACTGAGCCACCCAGGCGCCCCATTCTTTTTTTTTTTTTTTAAGATTTTATTTATTTGACAGAGAGAGACAGAACGAGAGAGGGAACACAAGCAGGGGGAGTGGGAGAGGGAGAAGCAGGCCTCCCGCAGAGCAGGGAGCCCGATGCGGGGCTCGATCCCAGGGCCCTGGGATCATGACCTGAGCCGAAGGCAGACGCTTAACGACTGAGCCACCCAGGCGCCCCCCAGGCGCCCCATTCTTTTCTTGTTCTTTACCAACCTTCTCCCTGCACCCTGCTCTGTGCAGGCTCTTGATTGCAGGGACCGAGTTCTCTGACCTTCAGCAGATCCTGAGCCTCCTTGGCTCCACCAAGGACCTGTTGTTGACGAGCTCGTACCTGGCAAGCTCTGGTTTCACCGGGGAGCGCACAGAGCTCCTTGTCACCCAGTATTTGAATGCCACTGAGCATCGCTGGTGCGGCTGGAGTGTGAGTACTGCAGTGCGGGGGAGAGCGCGCCGGGCGTCGGCCGACGGGGACAGAGGTGGGCCTCGGGGTTCACCTCAGTGCATGCATTCCTGCAGTTGTCTCAGGCGGGATTCCTGACTGCCCTCGTGCCGGCTCATCTCCTCCGCCTCTACCAGCTGTTACTCTTCTCCCTGCCCGGCACCCCGGTTTTCAGCTACGGAGATGAGATCGGCCTGGAGGTAGCTGCCCTGCCTGGCCTGGTACGGCTTGCTGTCTTCCCCGACGCGTCGGGGCGGGGGGGATGGTGGTTGTGTTCCTCTGTCCTGGGGACTGTGCGGATGGTAGCAAGCAGACGTGAGCCTTGGGTGGAACTGCGTTTGATTCCTGCTCAGCCCCCTAATCAGTCCCTGTGTGGCCTCGGCGAGTCATTTCCCTGCCATTGCCTTGATTGTCTCTTCCGGGGTACTGCATTTCTCGTAGGGATTCAGTGAGGGCCTATTTTGGAATGCAATGGCTGACCCCTGCTAGGTATCCAGTGTGGGAGCCATCACTCACCCGTTCATGGGTTCATTCATTCATTCATTCATGCACGCATTCAGGGCACTCTGTGTCCTCCAGCAACTCGTGGTTTAGTGGAGGACCCAGATGAGTACGAGAGATGCGCAGCCCCTGCCGTGATCGGGGTAAGCGCACGGAGGCACTAGCTCAGCTTTAGCCATCGGGTTGGAGGTGGGCACCCCAGCTGTTGTTCATAGAACTGGTCGTTCAGTTATTCCACAGTTTTAGGGAGTAATTCCTCTATGCCAGGCACAGAGGTACAGCAGTGCACAAAAGAGCTGGAGGTGGTGAAGTTAGGTGATAAAATAGAATAAAGGTACCCAGTGCTGCTCAGTCCTGTGCAAAAGAGAGCAGGGCCAGAGGGACGGGGGGATGTTTTCCATCGAGGGGCTGGCAACGGGAGGAGAAGGGAGAGCAGGCCCAGGCCTTTTCCAAGTCCTGTTTTCTCTGCTTTTCAGCCTGCGAAGGCTCCGTTCATGCTCTGGGATGAATCCAGCTTCCCCAACACCTCAGGACGTGGAAGTACCAACATGACCGTAAAGGTGGGTTTTGGGTGGGCCAGGTGACTTGTAGGAGTTTGCGCCCAGGGGCCGCCCTTTATCTTTTCCTGCTATCTCCATCCTTTGCAGGGCCAGAATGAAGACACTGGTTCTCTCCTCTCCCTGTTCCGGAGGCTGAGCGATCAGCGAGGCAAGGAGCGTTCTTTGCTCCACGGAGACTTCCACGTGCTCTCCTCGGGGCCCGACCTCTTCGCCTACATCCGCCACTGGGACCAGAACGAGCGATTCCTGGTAGTGCTCAACTTCGGGGATACAGGCCAGCCTGCCAGGTTGGGGGCCTCCAGTGTGCCAGCCACTGCCAGTCTGCCGGCCACCGTCGATCTGCTGCTCAGCACCGATCTAGGCCGCGAGGAGGGTGTGTCTCTGGAGCTGGAACACCTCAACCTAAAGCCCTACGAGGGGCTGTTACTCCGCTTCCCCTACGTGGCCTGACAGGACCCACCACCCTTCCCCTCCCCAGGCCCTTTGGGTCCTGGTTTCTTTTCCTTTTTTTTTTTTTTTTTTTACTGCCACAGATTACAGATGAAACCCCAGATAAAGTGTGTTCTGGCTTCAAATAAAAGTCACTCCCGCCTGGTGAGGTCTTGTACTCCCTCCATCTCTCTGTCAGGGCAGGGGCACCCCTCCCCCCCCGCCCTCCCCTCCCCCCAGACCTGGCATCACAGTGATCAGTGCCGGAGAGTTCCCTGCCCCTGCTCTAGCCCAGAGAGGGAGGGGCCTTTCAGGCTCACAACGATGTGGTGTCAGGGCTAGGGCTAGCATCTGGGCCAGGGGCCTCTCCTGGAGGTTTTGGGTCTTACCCCCTCAGCAATGGTCTCCAGCCCAGTGTGGTCAGGTTTCCTTGTTTTTGCAGACTTGGCCTTTTAGGAGGAAAGAGTGGGAGCCGGGTGGCCTGTTTTTCCAAGAGGTACTTCTAAAGGATACTAGAGGGCATTCGTTCAACAGGAATCTCCTGTGTACTCAGCACGTGCCAAGAATTGTTTCCGGTCCTGGGGTTACAGGCGGGAACAAAGTACAAAATCCCTCTCTCCTTGGGGCTTACAGTTTAGTGAGGAGATGGAGAAGAAAGAAGGTGAATACAATTTAGAGTGCCATGGATATAATAGTGTGCCATGGGGAAAGAGTAAAGCAGGAAGAGAGGGAGAGGCCTGGGGTGGAGGGAGTTTGAGGAGGGGCTAGAGGTGTCCTCTCCCAGGAGGTGATGTCTGACTGAAAGGCCTGAAGGAGGGTCTTCCCTGGCCAGATAGCCAGGAAAGGGGGCTCTCTGGTGCCCTCGGGCGGGGGCATGCCTTACTCGAGGGTGGGGTGGGGGTGAGGTCTGGTTGACGGGTTGGGCAGATCATGAAGGTCAGAGTAAGGTGGTCACAAAGAATTTGGCCAATGGCACAGCTTGAGGGCATGGTCCCCATAAGACTGCCCTCATTTCAGACACCAGCTGTGAATTCCAGGCCCCAAACCATCCTCAGTGGGTAATTTGCTAGAATGACTTATAGAACTCAGGAAAGTCCTAAGATTATGGTGTTTTAATAGTGGAAGGATACACATTTCCACCAGAGGACAGGGTGCATAGGGTGGAATCAGGGGGCTCCAGGTGTGAAGCTCCCAGTGGATTGTCCTCTCCCAGGGGAGCCCTGGACCCGAGACCTCCTTGTTTATAACACACAGTGTGGCCAAGCAGGGAAGCTTACCCGAGTCTTGGTGTCCAGGGTTCTCCCTGGGGCCCATGTGGCTGACCTCGAGTGTCCATTCCCCACCCCCGCCAGAGGTCGTGTGTCCCAAAGCACTTCTTGTAAATCACATTGTTAGACTGACGGATGGATGTCTGAAGGCACTAGACAAACACTCCTATCAGGACATTCCAGGGACTTAAAGATCACCTCCCAGCAGCCGAGGGCAAAAGCCAGATGTTGGCCAAGATTAACTTCACACAGGGTCTGAGGGAGTGGGATGGCAATTGGAGGGTTTTGAGCAGCGAGTGTGGTCTAACTTTGGGTTTTGCTGACTCACTGGCTGTCCCGCTAGCAGGGAGGCTAGGTGGTGAGGGGGGTGTTATGGCTGCAGCTTAGTAGACCTACCGGGATGACAGCTGTGGAGGAGTTATGTGTGCTGACTTTGCAGGTAGAACCACGGGATTTTCTGTTGGATCTTTCTATTGCAGTCTTTTTTTTTTAAAAGATTTTATTTATTTATTCATGAGAGACAGAGAGAGAGAGAGAGAGGCAGAGGGAGAAGCAGGCTCCCAAGGAGCAGGAAGCCCGATGCGGGACTCGATCCCAGGACCCTGAGATCATGACCTGAGCCGAAGGCAGACGCTCAACCATCTGAGCCACCCAGGCGCCCTTTCTATTGCAGTCTTGATCCTTTCGTTGGCCTCATAGCCCTTGGGGAACACTTGATTCCTGCAGGATGCGGCCTGGGCCTCTAAAGGGGTCCTGGTATAGGGGACAGGTCAAGGGACTAGATGCCCCAGCTAAGGCCCAGTCCACGTTTCCTCACTTTGGTTTCCCTTGCCCCGCGCCTGTGCCGAGGGCTGCGAGGGCAGGCGCTTGGCAATCTGGTGCGAAGGCACAGTTCCTGTGAAGACTCACTTGGCAGCCAGCCAGCTGGGCCTCGGCCCTTTCTGCCTTCCATGGCCCTTCTGCCTCCTACCAGCACCTCTGGGTCCAGGCCCTTGTCTGATCCGGGCCTCTCCTCTTCCTGAGACCCCGCACCTCGGGTTGCTTCCCGGGGTGCCGACTCCAGCCCTCCCTGTTTCTCTCTTGCTCTGCCTCTGGCTTCCCCTTCCAACCAGTTGGTGGCATGGTGTCACTGCAGATGGAGGCTCATCCTCATTTCGTGTTTGCAATTCACTGTAGACTTTCACTTTCTGTC